CAGATGGGCGCTTCGAAGCATTCTTGTAAATGGCTCCCTATGCTGACCTCGGGAGTCCAGGCTTGAATTTCTAGCCTTTAAATTTTTCAATCTCGCGGGTCTGGGATTGAACTTGTTCAGTTCTGGATTTTGGGATGAATCAGTGCTCAATCGTATTTCAGAGATTGAAAAGCCCCGAACCTATCCATTTGTCAGTATTTCCCCAAACAGTGGTTGCACTTAGGGTTTCTTGCTGCTGTGCTGCGGAGCTGGACCGAGTCTTCGGTCTGGCGGCTATGTGGCCGCCGTCGCCGCCCTTGCGTCGCCTCGTTGCCGCCCACTGTCTGGGCCGTGTCCTCGGTCTGGTGGCTACGTGGCCGCCGTCGCCGCCCCGTCGCCGCCTCGTCGCCGCCCGTCGTCTCTGTCGGTCCGGCGGCTATGTTGTCGCCGTCGCTGCCCCGTCGCCTCCGTCGCCGCTCGTCGCCACGCCACCGTGAGATTGCTCCATACAGGTTGCACAACACAGATTGCATAACCTAGGTTGCAGCACGTAGATTGACGTATTCCACGGGTTGCACCACAGTGCACAACATATTGCACACCACATGTCGCACAACGTATATATCATCACATGTAGTGCCCCACATGGGTTGCACGATTTGTATATATATATATATATATATTGCATCACACACATTGCACAACATACGTTGCACAGCATGGATTGCACCACATGTATTGGTCCACCTATGTTGCACCACATCTATCGTACCAACACATACACAACATATAGGTGTCTCACATATACGGCACCACGTAGATTGCACCACATAGGCTGCACGACATATATGGCACATCGTATATTCCCAAACATAGGTTGCACCACATGGATTGCACCACCGACTTCATCACAGACTTCATGACATATATTGCACAACATGCATTGCAGAGCTCAGGTTGCACAGCGTATCCTCCCCTTCCTTACAAGAGAATGGGCTCTACCCCCCCAGGATTATCGACACCCCTTTTCGTATTTCAATTTACCAATGAGTCTGCCCCACCGTACATCCTAAATATGAGTTCGTACCATCCCAGCCAGGCCGGTTCCGACCCCCCCGCCATCCTTTGCAACAGATACTATGCGCACACATTCGTTTACCAAAAGTCATAAGTGTGCAATAATCCTTTTCAAAACATGAAACCGAGTGCACACGCGCGCGTCCACGCGCGCGCATGCCGAAATCCTTATCTTTCAAAAGCCTTCGGCTTCGTACGGATTTCAAAATCGAGTGTCCCAAAAACGTATAAAATCACCGGGTTCCGCAACACGGATTTTCTCCAAAAAAAAATCTCAAAAAGATTTCGCCTTTTCGCCATGGGTTTTTCAACATTTTCATAACATGCTACCAAACGGGTTTCGCGCGCGCATGTCGAAATCGTTCGAACGCCTTTGCGCGCGTGCTGGTGTGGCACGATCCGTGTCAAATAATACCATGCGGGCCACTCTCGCGCGTCTGCCGCGCCCGCATTTCGAACTCCTTCCCAAAACCTTCATCACCGACGCGAAGACGCCGTCACCGTCGTCGGCGTGGCGTGACACCAGCATCGTTACTATCATCATCGTGTCTACCGTTGTCGACGTTGCCATGATACCGCGCCCGCCCAAGTCGACAATTGGCACTGAAGTGCCCGCTGGGATGTGCCGAACGGTCAGCGCCACCGCGTTCGTGTCGGTTGCGCCAAACTAGCTGGCCGCTGCGCGCGTGCTTGGGTTGGCGCGGCCGCAAAGATGCACCAGCCAACGCCAATCATGCATCGCAATCCCCTTCGCAGGGGTTTTGCGAACCCAGTTGCGGGTGGGTCAGTGGGATGTTTGCAAGAGCATGGGACGTGCCAACTCGTTTGTTAAAACCAATTCCACCACATATATTACACCACCTGTATTGCACAAACTACATTGGACCACACATTTTACATAGCCCATATTGCAAACCATATATTGTACAGCATAGATCGCACCACACATTTTGCACAACATAGATTGCTCCACGCGCATTGCATCACATACATCGCACCACATAGATCGCACCACATACGTTGCACACCACACCATCACATACTTGTGTATATATATATATGTATATACACACGCAAGACTGCATTGGCGCTTCGCGCCATGCACCTTGGTCCTTGAGGCTTTGCTTGTGTTGTTCGGTCGGGCGGTCCGTGGCCCTTCCCGGGCGTCTGGGGACTCGAAAGGCGCCGGGTGGAGGTCGAAGGATAGGAGGGATGGGATTTCGGGGAGCGAGGAGAGGTAAGCGGATGTGGGGGAGGACGAGTGGTGGAACGGCAGAAAAAGGAGGAGGAGATGGAGGAAGAGGAGGAGGAGGAGGACCCAGAGAGGAACAGGAGGAGGGAAAGAGATGGTGCCGTGGGGGGACGGCGAAGAATTTCGGTTGCGCCGCACCGAAGAATGGCAAGCCACGCGAATGAATGCCAAGCAAACCGATGCAATGTCAAGCAATGCCGCTAAGTACAAAGCAGTGCCAAGCCGAGGATGTCATGTTGCAGCGGGTCGCAACGAGGCACTCGAAAACAAGTAATTCTTGGGGGAATGCACCGAATCCCAGGTTCGCAGCAGATTTCTGGGACATGTATTGGCGAACCTGGGATTCGGGTCGGTTTGGTGGAAAACGCTGCGTGGGCCTTGTGCCCTGGTGGGCCGGCTTGAGGCCCTCTCGGGCCGTCCTTGGGCCATCTTCGGCCGTGTTGTGGAGCTTGGGCCCTCTGGGGGCTTTTCGGGGGCTACGTGGGCCCTCCTGGGGGCCTCCCATGGCCTTCTTGGGCTTCTCTTGGGCGCCTTATGAGGGCCTGTTGGGTGTCTTTTTGGCCCATTCGGGGCTTCCTTGGGCAGTCTTGGGGCCATCTAGAGGCTCTTTTGGAGGTCTCTTGGGCCGTCTTAAGGGCGATACCAGAGGCCTTTTTGCTGGTTTGGACGCCGCTAAGACCCGAACAGCCAACATTCTGAAAAAAAAGTGTTTACCGAAAGGAATGAAACGATTTCTGCGTTCTGGAAATCTTGTTCAGGGCCTCCGGGGCCGTCTTGGGGGCCTCTGGAGGCCATCTGGGTCCTTCTTGGGGCGCTCTTGTGCTGTCTTGAGTCTCTCTTCGGCCTCTCCTGTTCCCGCTGTGATCGCTTGGGGTCTGCTGGCAAGACTCGGCTAAGCGCCTTGGGAGGTCGGAATGAGCCAGAGGACATTTGGCAAGGGTGTCCGGGGGGCCAGGAAACCCTGGATCTTGGGGGTCCGGTTTTTTGTGTGGGGGGGGTGGTGAGGTTGTTTCCCCCCCCCCCGGGGCTTGCAAAAATATAGGGAGAGGAATAGATATGGCGATTGGGCATCATAATGTCCTAAACATATGCAGCACAACCTAAATAGGGCCACGTCTACTGCACCGCATGTAATGCTCCACGTACGTTGCACCATATAGATAGCTCCAAATAAGTAGCACCACTTATATTATGAGACAGACACTGTTTAGGGTCCACGCTGGCTGACACTTTTCAAGTTCATCGTTCTCGTTCCTGTGAAAATGGTGGCCCCCGCTGCAGCGTGGGCCTCATTGTAGGATCGGCGCTGTGCTCCTGTCTTTCAGAGCGTCACTCGCCCCCCGCGCGTTCCATTTTTCTGGATTCGCGAATTTTTCCTCATCGTTGTCGCCCCCCCCTTGCCCCTACTCCGCCTTCCCCTGGTCTTCCTGCTCCTCCCGCTCCTTCACTCCAGCTCCTGCTGTTGTTGTTCGTCCAGGTCCTCTTCCTTCCTCATTCCCCTCCTTTTCCTCCTGCTCATCCGCCACCTCCTCCTCGCATGTACGCAGCTCCCCTTTTCTGATTGCGCATACCACGATGTTTTTTTTTGTTTGAGCTCTAGGTCCGCTATGACGCGCGTCGGTGGATAGAGAATGAATGAGCGCAATAGGGCGAGATGGGAGGGAGGGATAGGATGTCAGACATGGCGCGAGCGCACCTAGCTTGACAACTGCACAATATGAATACGATTCTCTTCTCCTTCTCTCTGGAAAACGCCGGTGAGGTGTCCTGTCCTCCTCCCCTCCGCGTAGTGCCGTTTTTAAACACAAGATGCCACCGAGTTGATAATCTTTAGTTTTTTTTTCCAATCCGAACGTTCTCAGTTCTTTCAGAGTGGCGCTCCCACTACAGCATTGGCTCCGTTTTCCCGTTCTCAGTTCTTCCAATTCCCGCCGTAGCGCTGACCTCATTTCATTGTCTCGGTTCTTCCAAATCGTGCTCCTGCTGCAGCGTTGGCTTCGTTTTCGCGCTGCCATTCCTTCCAAATCGTGCTCCCACTCCAGCGGTGGTCTGATTTCCGCGGTTTCGGTCCTCTGAAATAGTGCTCCCGCTGCAGTGCTGATCTCATATTGCGCTTCGCGCTTTCCAAACTGTTCATTCGCATTTCCTGTCCGGTGCCATTTCTGGTTTCCCTGTGACCTTCTTGTCGTCATGGACCGTGTTCCCGATGCGAGGATATGCTATGCCGTGCTGTACCATGCCTCGCGTACTCTCTCGGGACCACTGCCCTGTTCGACATCCGACTCGGCCTCCCCCGTCCCGCTCCCTCTCCCCCTCCCCCCCCCGCCCCTCCCTGCCTCTGTCCCTCCCTACCTCTGCCCCTCGCCCCGTGCCGCCCCCCCCTGCCCCAGACCTCTCCCCCCCGCACATCCTCGCCGCGGCCCGCCGCCGCCGCCGCCGCCGCCGCCGCCGTCGTCGTCGCCGCCGCCGCCGCCGCCGCCGCCGCCGCCGCCGCCGTCGTCGTCGTCGTCGCCGCCGTCGTCGTCGTCGTCGTCGTCGTCGTCGTCAGCGTCGTCGGTCGTCGTCGTGTCGTCGTCGTCGTCGTCGTCGCCGTCGCCGTCGCCGCCGTCGTCGCCGTCGTCGTCGCCGTCGCCGTCGCCGTCGCCGTCGTCGCCGTCGTCGCCCGCGCGCCGCGCCGCGCCTGCCGTGGCCAGGCGGCGCCCTACCCGCCGCACGCATGGCCCGCCCCCGCGCCGCACGGCTACCCGCCGCACCCCGGGGCCCCGCCGCCCCGCCGCCCGGCAGCGGCCCCCCGCGCGCGGCCTCTCGGCCTGCCGCCCCGCCGCCGCGGCCTCGGGGAGGCCCCCTCCGGAGGCCGCTCCGGGGGCCCTCGGAGGCCCTGGGAGGCCCCGAGGGCCCAGGGCATCCCTCCTCCTCCCCCCTCCTCTTCCTCCTCCTCCTCCTCCTCTTCCTCCTCCTCCTCCTCCTCCTCCTCTTCCTCCTCCTCCTCCTCCTCCTCCTCCTCCTCCTCCTCCTCGCAGGAATTCCCACGAGGCCCAGAGGGCCTCCGGAGCCCCTGGCAGGAGGCCCAGCGGGCCCCCCTAAGGGGGCTCCAAGGCGGCACGGAGAGCTGCGTGGCGCCCCCGGGGGCCAGGGCCCTCTCTGGCAAGTGGCAGCCCCCGAGGCCTTCGGAGCTTCCTCGGGGGCCATTCGGAGGCCCCAGACCCCCTCGGGTCGTGAACAAAAATCACGACGGGCGGTTTTTCTACATTTTCGGCCCCTGGGGCCCTTACCGGGCCTCGGGACCGTCAAAAAACGACTCGGGATGAAAAACCGGTCCCAGGGAAGGGGTCCGGACCTTTGGGGGCCGCGTCATGAAAAAATCATGACGTCGGTGGTCTGGGGCCTTCGGTGGCCATTCGGAGGCCACTCGGGGGCCTCGGAGGCTTTCGGCGGCTGCTGGCAGCTATTGGCGGCCTTGGGTCGTTGTCGTCGTCGCCGCCGTCGTCGTCGCTGCTGCCGCTGTCATCGGAGCTTCCCCGGATTGCAGCGACTCGAGCAAATCGTGGCGTTCTTTCGCCACTTTCGGCGTTCGGAGGCTGGTTCTGGGGCTCAGGACCGTCAAGGGGAACAGCCGGTCCGGGCGAAAAGGTCGAGGGTTCCATGGGCTTGCGATTCGGAAGAACAAGCGAGTCGTCGATGATACGGGTTCTCGCGGCTGTGCGGAACCGTTGCTGCCACCTTCAGCGTCGGCGCCGTCGCAAGCGTCGCCGTCGCTTCTGTCGTTGTCGCCGTCGTCACTGTGGTCGCCGCCTCTGTCGTCGTCGTCGTCGTCGCCGCCGCCGCCGCCGCCGCCGCTACCTCCTGTTCTTGCCATCGTCGTCCTCTGCCGCCGACGTCGCCGTCGTCGCTGCCGCCGTCGTCGTCGCCGCTATTTTCCCTGTTTTTGCCATCGTCGTTTCCGCCGCCGCCGACGTCGTTGTCGTCGCTGCCGTTATCGCGGCCGCCATCGTCGTCGTCGTCGTCGTCGTCGTCGTCGTCGTCCTCGTCGTCGTCCTCGTCGTCGTCGTCGTCGCCTTCGCCGTCGTCGTCGTCGTCGTCGTCGTCGGCGTCGGCGTCGGCGTCGGCGTCGGCGTCGGCGTCGGCGTCGGCGTCGTCGTCGTCGTCGTCGTCGTCGTCGTCTCTGTCGTCGTTGTCGTCTCTGTCTCTGTATCTGTCTCTGTCGTCGTCGTCGTTGTCGTCATCGTCGTCGCGTCGTCGTCCATCCCTCCTCCTCCTTCCCATTGCATCCCTCATTCATTCTTCCTCCGTCCTTCAGGGACCCTGGAGGAGGAGGATGAGGAGGATGAGGAGGAGGACGAAGATGAGGAGGAGGAGGATGAGGAGGAGGACGAAGATGAGGAGGAGGAGGAGGAGGAGGAGGAGGAGGAGGAGGAGGAGCCTTCTCGCAGCGCGCCGCGGCGCTCGCGCGCCAGATGCCGCCTGCTGGGTACGGGTACTACCCGCCGACGGGCCGCAGCCCGAGCCGGAGCAGCAGTAGGACCCCCTATTCGCCGCCCCGCCTCCCCCCTGCCCCTCCTCCTGTCCTTCTCCTCCGCCTCTTCCCCTCCACTCTCCTCTTTGTCCTCCTCCTCCTCCTCCTCCTTTTTCTTCTCCTTCTCCTCCTCCTGCTCCTTCGTCTCCTCCTCCTCCTCCTCCTCCTCTCTCTCTTCCTCCTCCTCCTCCTCCTCGACATCCTCCTCCTCCTCCTCCTCCTTCTCCTCCTCCCCCTCCATCTTCTCCTCCTCCTCCTCTTCCTCCGCTCGGCGAGAGACGCCTCCGTTTTCCTCCTCCTCCTCCTTTCAATTTGGCTCTCGCCTTAGCGCCGCGCACATTCGTTTTGAGTGCTTACAGCAGTATCAAGGATTCTCATGGCAGACTTGCCAAACATGGTATTTTGGCACGATGTCGGACTGTCAGGGCGCAACAGTTACGTTGATTCGTGGTGCTGACGTCCCAGGAATGGTGTTGCGGCACGATCCAGGATCGTCAAGAGGCAACAGCACCTAACGGTGATTCGCGGCGTTGAAGTTCCAGGAATGGTGTTTTGGCACAGTTCAGGATTCCTATGAAGAAGGAGCTTGGAGAGAGGGTTTACTGCAGTATCGTTGATGAGTCTTGGGTTTGCACTTGTCCTCCTTCCTCCTGCTGCTCCTCATCCTCCTCCTGTGGCG